ATCGAGTGATTCAAGCGAACGAACTGAAAAGAACGATCGGCTGACAATGGTGATGGCGAATGGTAGTGGTTCTATCTGCGAAAACGAAGAATTTTATCTCATGCAAGTTGATTTCAGCTATAGCAATTGCATTACATGGATGCTTCATCATTCCGGGTGTTCGCCTTAAAAACACGTAATAAGTAAAAAAATTTACATGCGCGCTGTTATGTCAATTCAATTAGCCATTCCCAATAAAAACAATGCACTGGCAATGTATACATGTTCAGAGCAGTATGCAGATCGGCGGCAACACCATCAAAGACAGGAATGAACGCGAATGGCGGGGGACCAAAACGAGTGGAAAAACATGCCAGAGCTACACGACAGAATATTCAAACGATTTGGATGTTGAATTCATGAATACATATAGTTTAATCGATGTGAAGCTCAGCAACATCATTGAATCAAATTGAAAATCGCACGGTAACGACAACGAAATAAAAAACACCATGCACACGCTGAGAGAAAATTAAAAGTTTTGTCGTTGCGATGATGGAGATTGTGATGGCGGTGACGACGACGACGTTGCACACACAAATGCATTTCAATCCGGACGCAAATATACTTAATACATATCCAATCTACGTGACTCAATACAATGCATGTTTGAAAATGAACGGAAAAGCAAGTGAACATGCTTTAGTGAAGAAGCCAGCCAACCAACAATCAATAAGCAAGTAAACGAAAGTTAAAAAAAAAAAACATTTGTCACAGATTATGCACGATTTTTACTGTCTTCCGCCTGCGATCGCTCAATCAAAAACATAATTTGATAGTGGCAAGTGTTGGTACAAATGCGTTTTATTTTATTTTTTCACAATTTTGCCACTTAAGAGCTTCTTTCAGTCGAAAAACGTTCGGCCAGGGATTTTGGTGAAACAAATCGATTTATTTTTCGACTTATTTCGATTTCATTCACAATTGAAATGAGACAGAAAAAAAATCTAACAAAAAACTCAAGCATGGAATCATGGCTGTCACCAAACCATTATATGTTCGTAAAAAAACTATTTAATATGTGAAGCTTAACTGTTGATTTGAAAATATTTTCTCGTCTTCAATTATTCATAATAGTGTGGCGAATGAAATATTCAAAAAGAAGAAATGGTTACAAAGATACGAGAGGTAATTTGATTTATAAAAAAAACAATTGCGCTTTTTTCTATTCATGTGAAGCAATTCCAATTGACACAGATAAAATTGACTCTTCCTGCGTACTTACCTAAATTACGACCTGAAATCTGAATAAATAAATGAAAATCAATGAAAATATCTGGTATTCGGGCATTTTATTTTACATTTTATTTTTCGAGAATTGTTGGTTTTTTCATGACATCGGATTTGAATTTGATCGGATTCGGCTATTGATCCGATCCATATAATTCGTTTCTTTTTTTCTTGAACTTATCATATCATTATAGTTGTTGTTGTTGTGTGTGTTCCAGTTCCTGTGTCTATTTGTGGATTTTTTCTTATCCATACATTTGTATTTTCTTTTTTAGTGTGTCTCGCTCCTAACTTAAACACCATCATATTTGTATTTTGGGGGGTCATTTTCACTCGAATTCGATTAATTTTTGTTTTTGTTTTTATTTTCTTTAAATTTCTCTTCATATTTTGTTGTTGTTTAATTTAATTACAGAAAACAGTCTTTTAAAGCTTTCATCACATTACAATTACATTAAGACATATAATAATAATTGTTATTATTATCGTAGTAATATATAATCATATTTCCTGTTAAATATATGCATACTTTTTTTGTGTTTAATCCATTTTCGTTTTTGACATCCTCTTGAAAATAAGATTTAGTGCAATTACTTTCATTCTCTCATAATTCTCACAATTTCATTTATTACAAATTAATAATTAATGTACGTGTAGACATATCATTTTTTTTTATTGCGAAGCATTTCAACGACTTTTCAGCGGTGTCACACACACCGTCTTAAAATAAACGCTTCAAACATTTATATTTGATATATATATATATTTCTTCAATGAATGTGTGTGTCTTGTTGTTAAGTGGGTTTGTTTTTGTATTTAATAAACTTTTATCTAAGATTTTTTTTACGATTTTCTTTTCGTATGCCAAAAAAGCCAGACAACACATTACAAAGGGAGTTCACATTTACAAAATTAAACAGTAAAAATGACAGAGACACAAATTGTAAACGAATATGAATTTGGAGGTTGGGGGGGAGGGCATAGTATGCAGATATAAAATGATAATAAAAACGTTCGTATTCAATATTTATAGACAAATAAAAATATTTTGTATGTGTGTGTGCTTATTATTAGAGCTTATCGCTGTAAACTATCGTGTCATATGCATTTCAGTAAGTGTTGGGTTGTTTGTCTGCTTGTTTATTTTCTCTCGTGCGCAACTGTTACACAAGCATTGACAATAAATGCATACATAACCACATCTACGACTCACTCCAGTCTGATTTTTGTTTATTTGGTTTTTTTTTATTCACATAATTTATAAAAATATTTTTTTCTTTTTTTTTCTCTGTTTATTAGTTGGTTTTTTTGGGGGGTTGGAGATGGCGGTAGGTGTGTCAGCGAGATTCGTCTAGCTTTGCATCTAGCATAAAAACGCGTTTCCATAGGCTGGTGAGCCGTTGGGTTTCGAATAGTTAAGCTCAATGCTTGTATTCAGTGCATTTTAATTGATAAATGTTTTCTCAGTTTTGGTACCGTACATTTTTTTTGTAATCCCACATGAGTCGATGTGTGGGTATGCCTATGTGTGTACGTGACTGTGCAGAGTGGTTTTGTCTGTATCATTTCAAACAAACAAAAAATATTTTGTGTGCCATTTCACAAAATACACGCTCTCACACTCTTTGGCTTACAGTGATTGCGCTCGCGACATCCACATATTTTGTGTATATGGTCATTTATTGAACGTACATACCAACTCTCCAGCTACCTCACTTTTCATTATTATTGGTTAAACTAAATTTAGATTTCGTACAAAATATACAAAATAAACTGAAATAACATTCGATTTTGTTTATGAGTGTATGTATGTGTTTGTAACGATTTCCCTCTTTCATTTATAGAAACAGTTTTGTTTAAGAGTTTCTGTTGTTTGTTTCACTAAAAATAAATTTAATGTCAACCCCGTTTGTTTTTTTTTCTAACCGTTAGTTTATAACAAATAAAACTTTCGAGATTTTGAAATGTTAAGAAACAAACGGTTTGATGTAAAAAAAGAAATATCGATTAATTTTGTCTATCTGTCATATATAAATAATGATTTTTTTTATTTTTTTTATTTGCCATTTTCGCACGAATGGTTGGCATTTTCAGCATCCAATTTAATTTACTAGTTTAATGAATGATTTTTCATTTGACGCTCTAGAATCAGATTCACACACACATAGAGAGCATCTATGTGTTTTAATTAGCTGCGTATACAAACATATAACATATACAACAATACATGTACAAACATATCACCTTTTCCCTCTTTTTTGCTCTGCTACAATGCTCAATATATCTCTCGTTCTCTTGTTTCATATTTAATAAAAGTATTCTCCACTGATTTTCACCAATTTTCCTCATTAAAATGAGTATTTTTCGCTGACACTCTACATCCCCTTCTATGGTTACATCGGTTTGCGTTCAGTGTTCACGTGCACATTGTTTATGTATACATTTTGTTTGTTTGTTTGTTTTTTTTATCGGTCGTTCATTTCATGTTCAATTTCAATAAAAACAATTTTTGATACTATGACGTACCTGATGATGGATCATCCATATCGTGAACAAACATGGGTAGTGAATTATCTGGAACGAATTGTTTTCGATATCGTTGATTTTTATTAATTTTCTGGTCGTTTTTATTTATAAGATGTTTTGCATCCAATGAAATTGTTGTACTGTCATCAGGCAATTTTTGATTTTCGCTAGAGATTCGCGTTCGACTCGATGTTGCCGAAACTTTTCCATGCGTTCCACTAGGTGCATTCGTATCAGAATTTTGTATTGGTTTTTGTATTTGTCGTTGCTTCAATGCTTCTGTGTCACTGTTTCCATTACTGTTACTACCACTGGATGTTGTTGCTGTTGTCGTTGTCGTCGTCTCGGAACTTTTTGTTGGCATCATGATTGCATCGTGTTGATTACCCACACCATCACCTGTACTACCACTATTACCGCCCATAAAACCGTTATCAGTAGCCACACCACCAAAATCCTTTGGATCGTATTTTGCAAAGGCAATCGTCTTTTGATGATGCAATCCCGGTGCCTGTTTTAAATTAGCCAAACGTTGTTGAACGATTTTCAAATGTTTCAATATGTAATCCTCTTGTGGTGCCAATTTATGGGCGTGCTGTAGACAATCAAGTGCCTGCGTTAATTTTCCACGTTCCACATAAACGACACATAAATTATGCAATCCTTGAATGTTTAACGGATCGATTTGTAAAATGCGTTTATAACACTGTTGTTGTTGGTTCCATTCAGTTTGTACGTTCGTAAATTCATTCGAAGAAGTTTGTGTCGGGTTAAATTCAATCGGTCGGGGTGTACGCGTAATCGATGTGCAAAATAAAAGGACAGACGGCGAAAAAAGAAGAGAAAAGAGAAAACAAAATGTTATCGGGATTAGTTTACTTTGTGTGATTCATAGTTAAAAATAAAACCGTAGCTTTGGTTAAGTCTTTTGAAAAAAAACGAATAAAGAAATAATATAACATGCACCCTGGACGATATGGTATTAGGTGTCTTGGCTGAGGATTTAAAAATAAAATAAAAAATAAAACCGGATTTCCACTGAATTTATTGCCATATTACAATTTATTATTACAAATGGATATGGCGTGAAGTATAGTTGTGCAAGGGCAATTTTCACTCACTACTATTCTATATAAATACACTCACACCTTGCGGATAAATAAAAAACTTTCTATGAAGAGTAAATATAATTGGAACGAATAATAATCGTTTGAATACATGCTACAATGGAGAAATAAAATGCGATATGAAGTCATTTTTACTCCCTTCTCCACCATTGTCCAGTTCGGAATAGAAATAATGATGTGAACCAAACAAAGGAATGGGCATAATTATACAGATTTTCACGAAATGACATGCACGGATTTAACTTTGCAAAGTGTCGTTTTTTTTGTCAGCTAACATTCAATCATTTCACATTCTTCTGTATTGTTCGTGACGTGGCAAAAATATAAATAAATAAAATGAAGTATGAACTATGAAAGTCATCGTTGGCATACCAAAATCCCATATGCAATTCATCTATTCAGCCATTTAACATTCAAAAGTGCTTCGTATCACTTTGCACACGTTCGAAAAAATGAGAGGCGGGGAAGGTATAGCAAGAAAATGGTAAAAAGCTAAAAACGAAGTAAAAACTCTTTATCAAAATTGAAACAAAGAATTACAAAAAAACGAGGGCCACATACAAATTGAATGAAACGAAGAGTTTCTTGTGGATATTCAGCGCAACGAAACAAAATATATCCACTGTACAGATTTTTTTGACCACTGTGTGTATACATTGTGTTTGGTGCGTTCTTTCGCTCGACGCTTTGGCTGTGTGTTATGTTTGCGTTTATTTCAAGCTATTCAGCTAGCAACTAATTCAATTAAAACTGTTTAATGAATTCATTTTCTTTTATCACAATTTTCTATTTATTCATTACGCTGCATTCGCTTGACGTTCGGTTGAATCCATGGTTGAAACCATTGCTTGTATTAACGTGAACGCGTCTCTCTCTATCTACTTCATTCACGATGAACATTTTGCTCCCGCTTATGGTTGCTGCCTCTTTTCATCATCATCATTGTCATGCCACTGCGTATAAATCTGGTTGAAAATATATCGCTTTCAACCAAAGTAGCCGTACAAAACGAAAAATAAATAAATTATTTGGCTTGGCATTTTTTGAAGAGAGAGATGGAACAAGAGTGAAACGTTGTTTGGATTTTGGACGTTGAATTTATCTTGTTTATTTTTATGAGACACATCAAAATTATTCGCGAGCTAAGCCAAAATCAAGCCAAGTCAACGAGTCAACCAAATGAAAATACAAAGCCTATGCGCGAGCTCACATACATCTTAACACACAAGCTCATCCCTTTTTTTCTCGCATTTGGTGTTTGTGTGAGTTTTTCATTTGTCAGCGTATATTTAAGCCACAAAGACAACTCGCAGAAATTAAAGTTTTAGTCGAGCGCCGAGATGAACGTTATAGAAAGCGAAAATAAAAACGCAACGCCCGTACTCCAAATGGAAACAAAGAAACTGTGCAAAAACTTTACATTAATAAATTAAAGACCGATGAAAAACCACGAACAAAAAAAGATTTGATGTGAAAAAGAAAACAACTACCATTGCCTAACAATAACAATAATAATAACTGTAGAAGAAAAGAAGAATAACGGACGAAAGAATAATTTTGTAAGAGATAACACAGCGAGAAAAAAAAACACAGCATTCAAAAACAACAGAGAAAAACTATTTCATTATGTTTATAATTACATTTTCGGCGGCGTCCAAGTCTTTGACATGGTTTATATAGATGTCCCCCAGCAGAATTAAGCCTTTTGTGTGATCCGGATGGTATTTGACGAGTTGGTTGAGAAATGAGGCGGCTTCGAGTGGTCGTTGATCGTCGGCCAAAAGCAAGGCCAAATTGAATAGCGCGCTCCGGAAATCGTGTTTCAAATGAACAGCACGCCGGAACCAATTCTCTGCTTCTTCAATGTTTTTATCATCCATTGCCAGCATACCCATATTAAAATGTACACGCTCGTTTTTGTCTATTCGTGTGGAATCGCGCATATTTTTTTTTATTCGAATTGTGTTATTACGTTGCGATGCATAAGCAAATAGATATGCGCATACCGAATTGAAAGAGAACAACAAAAAAACATTGAAAATATATATATTTACCTTTGAGATTAACTAATGCTTATGCTGTACGCTTTTTTTTGGTTGGGACATATATATGCATTTTAATTTTTAAACAAAATTTAAAAATCTGTACACCCTTAAACATAGTATCAAATGAGCAAATATGTAGAAATTCATTGTACTCACCATCCATTACAAGTAGTTTCAGTAAACGTTCTCGTGCAATCGAGCGAAGTTCAGGTCGGCCAAATTCTTGTAGTAAAATTGCTGAGTTGAGTAGTGCTTGACCATGTTCTGGGTCGATTTCTAATGCTTTATCCAAATAGGCAAGTGCTTGTGAGGCTTTCCCTTGTTCCAGTAAAACAACGCCCAGCTGTAACATGAAATAAAATACGGAATTATAATAAAATACACGAAGAGACAACGATGAAGACGGCGACAAAGAAGGCGTCATTTTGAGAAAATGGAGTTCAAGAATAAAGCGCATTTAGTAATCTGAAGTAAATTGGTGACGCGTCGTTAGAAGGCGGCAAATTGGTTTGGGAACAAGATAAATGGCTGATATTTTAATGAATATTTGATATGATGCAATAATTCATTTTATCTCGTTGCGATGTCATTTTTGTGAATGTTAAAATACCTAAGTGTTCATCGACTTTAAATGATGCGCGCCATTAAACCGCTTTTAAAATGTTCTCTGGTGTAATTCTCTCCTTTTTTCGCTTTCTTTTTCACTGTTTTACATCGTTGCCTTTTGGTATATCACACACACACACTCTGCCTACGACATTCTAAGATTTAGTTGCTTTATGTAAACGAGCGGAACGAAAAAAAGAAGAGTTGAACACAAGTGTTCAATAGGAAAAATGGAATAGATGTATGCAAGTGGTTTGGGTTTTTTGGGGGTGTATTGAGAGTCTGTGTTATAATGAAAGTATATTTTTCGTTGGCGCAATATTTCGTTGTGTGAGCAAATTTTCATTGGCTCATTTGTACGCATAACACATACACATTTCATACATAATGTATGGAGACATAATGCACGAGCACATGTATTTAAGTGAAAATGGCAATGTTTACACTCGCTCTTATGCGCTTGCTATCATTCGAACGAGATATTTTAAAATGGGTGTCCGGGATCGAGTGCACTCACGGCATATACATACGAGAGCATATACAAAGTGAAAGTGGGTTTCAGATAAAGAGCAAAAAGGAGCATGGTTTGTGTTAATGTTTGAGCGAATACTTACATTATAATAAATATCCGGATTAGTGCTATCATATAGTAGCGCTCGTTCGTACACTTCTTGTGCGTCTTTGGTTCGATTCAATTTGATCAGAATATCGCCGCGATTTATGTACGCTTGTGTGTAATCCGATCGCATGCTAATCGCTTGTCGATATAATAAATCAGCTTCTTCGAGTCGTGTATGATTTTTCGATATTAAATTGGCAAGATTCAAAAACACGTGTAAATGATTTGGTGCGATGCGTGCTTGATACGTTTCGCCTGGTTTTGCTTTCGGTAGCAATGATTTGGCACGTAAAAATGCCTCTTCAGCTTGTTGAAATTGTTTTAAATGATTAAAGGTGCGGCCAACATTAATATGCGCACCAACATCATCCGGTTGCACTTGTACAGCGGCCAAAAAATATTTTAACGCATCGGCATAGTTGCCATCACCTTCGAGCGCATGACCAACATTATTAAATAATTTTGCATTGCGTTGATTGACACGCAAACCAGACATAAATATCGTATACTCAGTCTTCCAATCCCAATTACGATGATATGTTTTAATGGCATGCGATCCAATCAAGATGCACATAAATAACCAGATCAACTTTCGATTTTGATGATGTTGTTCATGTAGCACATGAAAACCGTACGCGATCAGGATGCAAAAACCCATCGATGGCATATACAGCACACGTTCGGCAATCACAAAACCAACGGGAAAAAATAAATTCGATGCTGGTATGAATGGTATCACCATAAATGCTGTACCCTATTGAAATACAAAAAAAAAAAAAAAAAAAACAGAGACAGAAAAAGAGTGAAAAAAAATGCAAAAAGAACAACCGAAATCAACGGATTCCGAATGAGTACGTTTCGATTTAGATTTATTTGACATTTAAATATTGATTCAAATGCCACTCGTTTCGCCTTTTTTCATGCTTTTTTTCCCGTGCGACTGTCTGTCTATTTGTATATTTGTTTGTTTTTCGTTTTAGCTTGGTTTGCTTCGGTATATCATGGCCCCGGATGAAATTAGATGCACAAATGGAAATGGGCAAACTAGTAGAACGAAGCAAACATACACGCACATACACAAAACGATACAAATTGGAAACGAAATGGCAATATATAAAAGTGCAACAATCACGATAAATATATATATATATGGATAAAAAAAATCCGAAAAACAAACTGAAGAAGAAGAGCTTGTCGCAAAAGGGGAAACAAATGTCGAGTTTAAAATGATAAGTTGTTTTATTTCGAATTTTGGATCAATGGGCAATGTGAAAAAACAAAGTCTGGACGGATGCACAAACTTGTGCCACATCGTCGTTGTTTCGTTTTTCGTTTGTCTCGTACTGAATGATCTCGGTATGCAAAGAAATCTCAAATGCATTCGGTGGTGTCAAACCGCGTTGTGTAGCGCAACGCAATTCCAAGCAGAATATGTCGCTCCCAAAGCGGGACATGGAAATTGTCATACTGACATCAACGAAACCCAAAAAACGTAGTGAGATAGAAAGAAGAATGAATTGTTGAGAGAAATGAATTGTGTATTACGTGAAAATTTCGTTTGACTTCTATATGAATCGTTGCGGCGAAAGAGTAGCTCTTATTTTTCTCCAAATAATTCTGCAACATAAAGTTTTTTATGAATAGTTTTTTTGTTGTATTACAACAAATAAACCGTGTGAAAAAAACTTCATGTTGCAGTATTATTTGGAGAAAAATAAGAGCTACTGTTTCGCCGCAACGATTCATATGTATTACATATCTTTAGCAAATATAATTATTGTTCCATCGAAATGGTCGTTTACTTTTGAGATGCATACGAAGTATAGCAGCAGTAGCAGCAGCAGCAATAGCATAAATGCCAGAGCACTTTTCGGTATAAAAATAGAATGAAAAATGACATAATACTAAAACAAGCGAAAAAGGATAAACGCAACGACACAGAACGGAATGAAATGTTGATTCAAGTGACCATTTCGCAAAATTGACGACATAACTGCTAGCTCAAGATATTTGTTGGCAACTTTTGAAAAGTCATATCCGTGCGTCGAGAAGAGATAGATAGCCCAGACGTTGAATTTGATTTATTTTTTTCTCTCTTCTATTTCAAATTATATCGAAATTGAGATGAAGAACAACACATATATGTGAATATAAAAAGAAAACGAAATACTTACCATGAAAATAGCTGCCGATCTCTGTTGATTATCTGTGGTAAATGCAACCCATAGTAAAGCGATTAGCAATGTGTATGTTGCAAGTGTGGTCAAATTGCGTGTATCGAAAAATGTTTCAACCAAAGGCACTGTTCCCATTGTCCAATCACAGCATAAATCGCATGGGAACAACAGCAGCCAGAAATTCACCGATGTTAAATAATTGTAGGTTAATTGACGCGTTGGACTAGGTGCCACTGATGCTGGATTATCAAATCTATATACCGTTAAAAATAGAAGAAAAAAAAACAGAAAAAATGTGTTAGCATTATAGCGTAGAACTTACAAACCACACAATAATGAGTGCAGATGAAGAGAGCGAAAAATTGAGTAAAATCAGTGATTTCACATAAAAAGCGAAATGTTCAATGCTGAACTCGTTGCCAGACTTTTGACATGACATAATGAAAAACGATTTGCAAAAGAACAAATGTATATATTCCCCTGACACACAATGGAACCAAAGTTCGCCTCAAAATCGTGCACATAAATTATCGTCATCACATTCGATCGCAGTTGAAGAAAAAAAAAATCAAGAAATTCTTTTTTCTTTCTTTTCGATGGTTCTATTTTATTTTTCCGTGTTTTTTTTTTAATCTTTCTGAGCTTTCGGCCCTTTTACCATCCTTCTTCGCATGTGTAAATGCGAACATAGCACCAAATTATGAAAGAAAGTGTAATACGAGTATAAGCTAGGAAAAGGATCCTCGCAGTGGAAGTAATCACACACACACACAAACATACACTCACAAAAGCCAAGTGTGAAAGATAATCACAACGATTTGACTGTGAAAAAGTTTTCGTGCTTAGCTTACGGTCGTGCGCTCTCTCTCTCACACAGACACACACACATCTGATTTGAGCGCAGTAAGTTTCAAAAATCGTAAATAAAATTTCGATTTTTCTATGAAAACGTTTGTATTCTCTGGAGCAAAATTCATTCTCGCTGAAAAGGGCACGAATAAATATTTTTGCTTCTGCTTACTTTTCTCTTTTTCGCTCTGGTTTTGTCGCTCGACCCAAAAATCGTAGCAAAATGTTGTATTCATGAGCTCAAAAGTTATTCTTTTGACATTATGAGTTGCTTCCTGTCTCCATTTTCGTGCATTTGCACTATAGCTGCAATGCATCGTTTCGTATTTCTCAGTACGTATATGTCAAGCAACAACACACACACACACAGTTTAAGTTTCGATTTATTTGGTCTCTCTCTTTCTCTATTGCAACTTGTCGGACGTCTACATTTCACAAAAATGTCATTTATACGTATCCAACGGACGGTTTCTTTGCAAACGCAATTCATTTCACTGGCAACATTCACGACCGCTTTAATTCATTTTCGAGCAATCCTTTTTTTGAAATACAATACATTTTTCATTTTTGTCTCTCTTTTTTTTTCACTTTCGGCTCCTGTTCTCTTCATCTTTGCCCAATGTTCTTGTTTTTGTCTAGGGTTCGCCGTTATTGAAGTGGAACGGAAACAGAAAAATAGAGATAAAAATTGAAATGTGCATGGAATACGGTGGCTAATGGAATTTAGTAGATGTGACTACTTAATCTGCAAAAAGCTTGTAGATTTACGATGACACACACTTGCAAATTGGATTCGAACTGACATTATTACATAATTAGATGGAAAAGGCAATCATTGCAGCAACTAGAGCGTTTGGAATCAGATTTGAAATGCTTCTTTTGGATTGCTCTCAACTAATTGTGACAAAAATTATTCCAAATGAATTGAAAGCTGCCGAATGCTGAATTTAATCACTGATACCTCCATACACTTTGTTCATTTGAATTTCAACAAATTTTCTTTAATGATTCTTACACTCTTGCAAAATTGTGCCGAAGAAAAAGAACTTTTTAATTTATGCAAAAAATAGAGAGCGAGTAAAAAAGTGAGGATGGCACAGAAAATATGCGGTGCCAAAGGTGAACGAGCATAAAGAAAAATGTTTGTCAAATTATTTAAATTTGGTTTTGGTTTACGGAACTTAAGTCGTTCATCAGGATGTGTATTTAGTTTGGTTACATGTTGTAAAATGTGATATTCACATGGTGTCAACAACAAGTTTAGAAATATAACTTTTACAGCAATTTACCAATCAAGTTCTCCCCACTGAATACTCATAGTTTTTAGTGGTGAGTGAAAGAAAGTACAATAGAAATTGAGACCAAGCATATAGATAGTATGCTCTCCATGGACTTTCTCTCAAAACCACTGAAATTTGTTGAGTACGTTTTTCATGAAACTCTCTTCCAAATGGATATCATGATATGAGCTTTAAATGAAAAACAAAAATCGGTATAATTATAACATTATTACATACCTTGTGAAGACTGGTAGCTGTGAACCCATTACTTTAAAACGTGCAAATAACAGTCCCATCGTCGTTAGGAATAGAATGCATAAGCGCTTCTTCGTATCCGATGTCCAAGTACCAGATGGCAATATAAAACTTTTTCCACTCACAATGCAACGCAGACAATGCACAATATTTCGAATTGAGATCTACATGTACGTGTCGTCATCATAATCGTTTTTGTTGTTGTTGTTGTTCAGCCAAAAATGTAAGCGTAATTTACCGGCAAAAATGTGATATCCGAGTGATGGTTGCGGCAACGATGCAGGTGGACAAATTAATGTTGGTGGAACAATGGTTGATAAACACAGCATTTAAGTAAGCATAAATAAAAAGATAGACGAATAGAAGAGAAAATGTTAATAACAAATAAACAAATTAAACCAAAAAATGACGAAAATTCTTGTTTAGAGAACTAATTTAATGAATAGTTTTGCGCTGGTCGAAAAAAGAAACTTTATTTAATGGCCATATCTTCATTTATTTTCCATTAGGAGGTCGAAAATTGTCTCTTTTTCAACTGAATACACGATATATCAACATTTCGATTCTTCGAAAACTAACAACAATAATTTTAAGCGACAAAGAACATACAGTGAAATTGTTTCAAACAAAGTTTTGTTTATTGCATCAAATAGATATGCCTATCTACTTGAAATGCAATGATTATACGATTAATGAAAATTAAATAAATGAAGATTCCAAATCATCGAACATTGGCCACTTTGTAATTAGTGAAAATATCACTTGGATGTCATCGAAAAATGAACATCAATTTTCTTGTGAATATCAGCACTGCCAAATATCGAGGATAGACTGTATTTCACCTATCCATATTGAATACAAATGAAAAACAATTCTCCAAACTTTCTCTCGAGAGTCCTGTTCTTTTTTTGGTGTGTGTGTGAGTGTGTTTGCATCTAAAAGTTCGGTTTTCCCAACTTGAACAAGTTAAATGAATGTTTCTGTGATCAATTTTGGGTAAAATGAAACTCATCCTGATTTGAAACGAATTAAAAAAAATTCAATTAGTTTAAAGGTACTCAATAAATAATTTGCTATCTAAAACTTAAATGTGAACAATTAATATTATTCGCATTTCATCGGATTGCATTTAGTGAGAAAGAGAGAAAGAAAGAAAATGCCAATTCAACGAACGATCTAAAAAAAATTATTAAATAGTTTGAATGAATCGATTTCATTCACATTTCGATGTATTGTTTTTCGGATAAGTTCAACAACAAACCGGATTTCTGTACATGTCGACTGAAAATGCAATGATTTTTGTCTGACACAATCTGGCCACAATTGGGAAAAGTGACCAGGATTACAAACTCTCTGAAACATGTACAAATTCGGACGCATGACAATGCCAAAATAAAAAGCATTTCAGAAAAACTTTTTCCAGCTGCAAATGCAGAAACGTAGCGGATAAATGGACGGTTCCAGAGAGGGAAAGAGACGATGAATTAGTTATCTATCTATTTGAAAACATAAAACCACACACATTCAAATGTAGTAGAGTATAGTGTATGACCGAAGTAAATTAGCAAGAGAAATGGATATGTGATGCTAGAGAAACAGAGATAGAGAGAGTGAAAAACAGCAGGCATACACACATACCAGCCGAGTATGTTTTTACGAAGTAGTAATAATGAATCCACACATATTTTGGTATTGGACGTTGGCATAAATGGTTTCGGGTTTAAAAGCAAAGTTTTTTGTGACAGGCGAACGCCCGAAAAATGTGCGCGCCATTCACATTTGTTTGGTGTGATGCGCACAGTTAGTTTATTGGTGGTTTTGCTATATACTTTATAATAACACTTGAATCTAAAGTGGCTGGTATTTTCCACAATTTCCACTGGGAAATTTTGGTTTGTTTGACTCGCTCATTACTAGTAGAAATGAGAGAATCTACAGTCGAAACCATCACCATCATTTTTTAAAGGGCAACAAAAGTAAAAGAGAACAAAAAAACACTGCACACTGCTTTCTTTTGCAATGGCTTTTGTCTTAAAATGTTTTTTTTTCTTCTTCCTTTTTTGAACTTCATTCTTATCTAAAACTTTGCATTTAATTTCAGCACATGAGCGTGAATAAATTAAGTGAACGTGGAAATCCAGTAATTCTCTCTACATTGTACCGTATTCAATCAAAGCCCAAGCCGCGTACACTTGGTCGTTTTTCTTTTTCACAGTTCGTTGCTTTTTTTCTCACTCTCTATCTCTTCGACTCTTCTATTTTCAGCACTTTACCATTTCTTTGTGCTCGAATCGAGATTTTATGATCTTATCCCCGATCGAAAAAAAAAACCGAACAAACACACAGAGACAGACATCGACTAAGTGCTCCTGCTGTGAAAACTTTCAACAAACTTTTCTATTTCGGAGCACGAATAATGCAAGACGTCAGCACCATGCACATATACATACACAATATGGGCAAATGTGCACAAGTGCATGGACTGCTATTTTTTGGCCAACGCATTTTCTTTTTTACAGTTTTTTTTTATATCATTCATTGGAGATAAGAGCATGCGATTGTAGAAAGGCTTTAGTATTACGACTTTTTTGTGCTTATTTATTACGACTTTGGCACTCGTATAGTTCGAATAAAGTTAGAACGAATATACTTATATATATAAAGGAATAAAACGAAGGGAAGAAAAAAAAGTGTCTTACCTTTTGTATAACAAATATTTCATAAACAGCACAAATAGCCGTGACTGTAATCCCCTGTTCTTTGCACAGCATTGCCGTTGCTACCGAAATCATTGAAATTGCCAAATATTTCCATCCTGTAAAGAAAACCACAACACAATTGATATGCGACGATGGAAACGGTCCAGGTAGAAGAAATGATGTATTTTTTTGTTATTTTATGTGCGTGTTGTGTATATAATAAAAGTAGATTAGAAAATAAAAAGGAAAGAAAAAAGAAATCATCGTTACAATCAAGTGCGAATAGAATGCAGAGTCTGAAATGAGAAAAAGGCAACAAAGCAAAACAAAAAAAGACACACACACTATGGGATTTCAATGAAAATGGAAGGAGCAAGAGGTTTGCAAATAAATCTAAAATGCCACATGGACACAATATAGCACACACTGCGGGGGAATCGGAATGAGTTGGAGTTGAAAAGCTTAAAATCATTATTTGTCGATCGCATTCTTTTACGGCTTTTTATTTCTCTCACTCTCCCTTGGATTAAAGTTCGAAGAAGTTTGACGACGACCGCCGCGTACCAGCAATGAAATAAGCACTGAATATAGATTCCTTTTTTTTAAAAGTCGAATAAAAAATGCATGAAAGTTAGCTAAAGATACTTCTGTTTTCGTTGCTTTCGTAATCACACTTTCTTCGTACGGCTACCATGGTCAATAGCGACCACTCTTAGCCAAGAAAAACATTGAAGCTGAGAGAGAAAATAAATGCAACGAAGATAAATAAAACAGAAAACATACCCTTAGCACTTAATGCGTATCGTACGGTATTTGCGTCTATATATACCTACATGTAAATTCCCATAAAGTAACACCGCAAACCATTCATTGTCAATAAGTACAACTAAACGGTTAACTCTCAACACATTGGCGTGCTCAATATCAATTATCAGCAAACAGTGTGGAGCGGTAACAAGAGCTAATGTTTAAAACGATGTCAGAACTTTAAGACGTTACCGTCGTTTTGGTTTGTGGCGCTGCCCTGCGAGGTCTTGTGTCAACACGAATCCCGTACGATATCATTAAAAAAATGCGAATGTTTGCGGGGGGAAAAAGGAAATGGTAGAAAGAAGACTGAGAGAAGTTTAAGAATAAAGGTGCTAGGTAAAAGAGAAAATCATTCTACAATTTAGAGCGGATGGTAGAAAATGTGTGTGTGCACGAGCAATGGACGTGAATTAAATTGTTATATAGCACTTATATACTCACCGGTTAGCTTGCTCTTTTTCTCTAGTGTTGATTTTACGTAAAATATAAACGCAAGTAGAAAAAATACGGACGACAATGTTTCAGCTCGGCCAACAACACCTGTTACCTGTTGAATATGAAACGAATAAAAAGAGATAGATTATATAAACTTCACTGAATACACACGCGCGATCTATTTTTTTTAAGGATTTGTTACAGCATTGTATATTGTTAAATTAAACACCAACAGAATGTGTGACACTTTTGACCAACTACACACATACTCAACGAGTTGAACAAATTGAACCAAACACGAAGAATATAAGAAAAGGAGAGAAGCTCAGAGAATAGAAAATGAAATCCAAACACCAAATGCATTGTCACACATGAAAAAGCATCGCACATTTTAACACTGACAAAATGAAAAATGGTCATGCGAAATGATGCTTTAAAAGCAATGTGCGCTAGATTCCATATGTTTTCATTGCCAACGTTTTCTCAAGCATCAAGAATTTTTATTATTTTCTGTTGTTTTTCAGCATTTTTTAGTCGAACGGTCGAAACGAATTATGTGACACTTTTAGCTATAATTCTAATCATCGTCGTAAACATTTGCGCTCATCAGACAATATTGCATACTAGCGTGCCAATGCAATGATAAAAAAAATACCACAATACAGAGTCACCGATATCAGGGCGGCCGATGATTCCGCTTTTATCGAATATCGTCAGAAGATACTTAGCTAAATTTGGAAATAAATCCATTAGAGAGAAAAACGAAAACGTATTTGTCATCATTTTACGCCTTCCAGACGTGATTAAGCCCAATGCGGCATTGAATTGATTTCTCAAAATGAGAGATAGAGAAAAAAAACATAGAATGAACTTTCGCTATTTATTTTGTGCCATGTTCGTTGTTTTTCGGAATTTTGTTTTTTTTTCGGTCGCATTTTTCTCTTTCTCATTTTCTACGACGACTTTCTTTGTCATTTTTCACGAGCTTATTGACAAATTTTTCTTTCCTTCCATATAGATTGCACTTTCTCAAACCATGTAAATTTCCAGTCATAACAGTAGAATGCATGCTCATTTCCATTTCATTCGATATATCTATATGTATATGTTATATACACACGCTTTGTATATTTTCTTTATACTTATTACGTCGTTTTTTTGTTGCCACAACTTCAACAGTTTTGTTTAGTACTTTTTTCGTCGGTTGTATTTCCCTCATTTTTCACCCCCATCCTCTCTCTCTGTATACTAAATGCGCACTCCGCGACCAAAGAAGAACTAAACGGAAAATATTGTATTCAAAATATGCACGAACGGAAGATAATAAAGGAAAACTATGATGTTAAATGAAAGTTCAGATAAAAAAACCATGAGCATACTGAGCATGTAAGGAGCGAGTTGGCGAGAAAAGGGTAGATAGACAGAGAAGATGGCTGTAGAAAGTGGCATTTGAAATATTCGGCAAAAAAACTTTATTTTCACATTCTCTTAAAGATAACGAACCGAGATTTATTCTGTCAAATGGTTTATGTACGAATGCGCCAAAATTGTGCACGGAAATGGCTTTTATTATTCAAATTTAAGTTGACAGTGTGTAAACAATGGCAAATTCTAGTGCTCAAGAAAATAGAAAAGAAACAATATTTTTGAAGCGATACATACAACGCTTTGTACGCGATTCAGACGCCAAAACACAAGAATATGAACACTAATGTTTAGTGGCCGAGAGAAGGTCTGAGAGATAGCAAGAGCACAGAAAGACATGAAGTGGCAACATTTTTATTGTGAAGGTCTGAAGTAAAAGATAATTCATTTTTCTGAAATAATTGTCGGAATATCCACCACTAAGCTCGCCGTTTGTGTCTGTTATTCCATTGCTGGAATGATCATCTGGCGTGAAATAATTTTGGTCGTTCCTGTTCATTTTTTTTTTTTACTTATAAATTTACTCATTCTCAGTCGCTTCGTCGAAAATTTTGTTTTAGTTAACATGCAGTGCTTTCGTTGAAATAAATCTAAATTACCTTCAACACACCATTTTCATAGCAAGTTTCAAATTTTCATTTCATCGAATTGAATTATTGCGGTAAAAAATTCAATTGTTGCTATTTGCCACCGTTACGTTGTGTTCGCTTAATGGTTGTACGGGTGCTTTTGCTTTATCCCCAACTCTATTTTTCACTTCATCAATAAAACAAAACTTTGGCCAACGATATTGCACATGCCATACGGTCTTTCAGCTCTTATTGTGTACTGAAAATGTGGATATCAAACGGTGCAAGTGTGTCTCGTGGGCGTAAAACCAAATGCGAACGGCTACAAAATATTCCATTTTATTTCTTTCTCCTTTTGCTCTCTCCAAGCGTGTTGCGATGGCTAAATCAAAATTCCAACAAACTTCGACTTGCACACTTCCTCTTTTCATCTTCCATTGCATGCATTCATTTTCTCTTTATTGTGTAGCCCATTACAATTTAAATTATAACCGAAAATTTTGTGTAAATGGCTGAGTCTCGGCGCATTCACTTAACCATCGTCGCACAATGTAGTTTTTCATGAGCAAAATGTGTGTGTGTGTGTGTGTGTGTATGTGCTAAGCAAATTCTTTGAGCGCAATTTACTATATATTATTTCCAGCGAACAAGAAAGAATTCAGCCAAATTTATGTATCTAGAGAGAGTTTACGTTTACACATAATCATCTGTTATTTGTTTTGTAGGTTTCCATTGCAAGATTCTTTCATTTATTTAGTTTTTTGTTGTTGTCTTCGTAGTCATCATTGTTAAATTGCGCGCTTTTTTATTCGTTTTTTTTTTTCTCCGTTTTTGTTTTCGGTGTGTTATCGTTCATATACAACAAGCTCTATTATACTATGTATGACTGTAATCCGTAGCAGCGTGTGTCTGTAAATGTTTGCGAAGTGTTCACGCATCGAATTACTTCAAAAACAACTGGAATAAATCATAGTCCATATTCTTATGGTGAAGCAAGAAATGGGAAATGTGCAAGCGACCGAGCTGAGATTCGCGCAACACATACACTTACACACACACACACTTGTTCATTTCTCTTTTCATATCCCCGAATTTTTATAACAAACAAATTAAACAGAAGAGAATAAATCGAAAATAAAATGAAGAAGCGAACACAAGCACGTACACATTTCCCAGAATAACTGGGAAATACGAAGCAAATCGAGAAACGAAAAGTCCTTCGTTGGCAAAATGTGAAAATAACAATACAACCAGAGATTGAGAGTGAGAGAGAGAGAGAGAGAGAGAGAGAGAGAGAGAGAGAAAGAGACCAAAAGTGAGTGCAAAGAAAAACTGCAATCCATGGATTCACTCGTAGGAAGTTATGTTCGTCTGATGTGAAAGGTTGAAGTTTGTAAATCTGATATGTTCTACACTGCACATGCTAGACGGCATACGTACGTACACACATATGACTCCGAATATATCGTATATGTGCTAAAATCGTTTTTTTTTTTCAGTGGTAATGCTCACAATTCTTTTCTTTCTGGTGTAAAAGGGCGCCGCACATCGATTTTACCAAAAAGATGCCGTAAATTCTGGCTGCGTTACGTCTATACTGTGCATATCTGTTTTGGTTTTGCAAGCATAAAAGATTCCGGCGAAAGAAGAAAACAACATCAACAGCGGCATAATTTAAAAAAAACGGCGTATCAAACGCCGAGTCGAGAACGTGAACATTGAAACAGTTTGAAATGCATGTGAGCTTAGATAAATCGTAAATTGAAGTAAAATTAAGGTTTTATTCCGCTTTCAATTCAAATCTACTGCAATATTTCTAGTGAAAGGGAGTGTTTGGAGATTTCTATCTCTTGAATTTTTTGTTCGCTTTTCGTTTTGCCTTTGTTAAAAACTTTGCAAGATACTTTCTTTTTCACTCTCTCCACACTTATTTTCCCTCGTCCCTCGGTGTTGTGTCTGTATGTGTGTTTGCATCGAATAGCAAAAAGAAATGAAACGATGGATTTATCGTTACCAACATGATTCGATCCTATGTTTGGGTGCAGAGGGGGTGGATAAAGAAAAGTATGATGTTGTTCGTGAAAGTAGCACCGTGTCGCCGAAATGTCGCAATTTATCATGCGTACGAAATATATGGACTTTTGGAGTTTCAATTCAACACATCCTATGAAATAATAATAAAAAAGAAGAAAAAAAAACAAATAGAAATAGCGAAAAGGAAAGAAAACCTCCATCAATGTTAAGCTCAACCGATGAAATTAAAGTGTAAAAGAATCAAGTAGACACAGTAAAGTATCGAAAAGAAAAACGCGTTGAAATGGAAATAAAACGCAAAGTTTGCAGATAATAAATTGTGTGCAATCTGGATTAATATCGATCAAAAAGCGGGAAACATTTTTCGCAAATGCATTACATGAAGCGCGACTGAAAAATGATTACAGTCACAGTTCAAATGATACCTTCTTCTTTTTCTCTCTTTGAGAGAGTTTTTAGCGTGGCGTGGCTTTTAGTCAATCTTTCAAACATTTGCAATGATCGACATCATTTTTCACTGTGCCACAATACTTAACAATATTTTATGCGTTCGTCAACAGAAAACCTCTCGGAGAGCATTTAAAAAAAATCCCTACATATAGAGATATATGGTATACACATATAGTAAACACGGAAATGTTTAAATTTGATGGCAGGAAAAAGAAGCTCGCTCGAGTACACACATACCCTCAATTCTTTAAATGAACTTCCATGCAAATCAAATTAGACTTCAACATTGAATTTGGGCACGAGAGAGGGAGAGGAAGAGTCTGTGTGGGAGCAAAATGAAGTGAAAATGACGCAAAAAAGTGAAATGTCTCGTAATCAATCAATCAATCACGAGATGTAATTTTAATGAACCGCACCGCTCAAACATTTATCGTAGTTGTTGTACGTCGCATGGCACTCTTTATTGCTATTCACACCATTACCACAACAACAATAACACACACACACATCCACAAACTCATTCGAATTAACATTTTGCGACACACACACACAAACCAACGAGAAATCATTGAAATACTTAAGCAAGTGGCACACATTTTCAGTGTCAGCTAAATGAAATGTGTACAAGTTTGATATGTCTTTTCTGTTACTTTCGGTAAAAAAGAGTAATTTCTATGTCACCAATCATTCAACGGCGACATTTTCAAGCAATCAGATACTCTTTCAAAAGTATATATATACCCTTTTCAAATTCGAACAAATTTGCTGTACCTTAAAATGATCGTATTCTCTTTTAAGAAGAATCGCTACAAAAGAGGAAAATTTAATATATATAAAAAAAGAATGAGTGAAGGCACAACTTACCGCTTCTATGTGTATCGGATGTACAGCAAACAATAGGGCAGCTACAAAGCTAGTTACGTCACTGAAAAATATAGTACACATTCTAAAGAGAAAAGAGAAAACAAACGTTTTTGAATTAGTAACGACATGATGCACTGAATTGAATTCAACGACAAAGAAACGGACTATTTGAACATGAAATAAATGTTGATAATGCACCAATAAAAAAATGTCTACAAAAATTCAAGGAAAAATAAAACAAGAAAAAATCAACATTAACGGAATGTAGGATGTCATCAGCGCCAAACAGGAAACGAAGAAAGCTCTCGGCCGAGACAGAGAGAAAGAAAGAGAAAGCGAAAATTACGTTTATGCAAATCACCGCCATAACAACAAGCTAGATTGAATATTTATTGCATTTGTGAGTTTCATGTGAATTGACACTCACTTGGACTCGTACACCGTGCGATACAATATACCTCTCTGTCGTTCGCTCTATGTATACGTGAATTAACATGAATGAATTGCGGATGTCGCTGCAGGGAATGGTCGGAACTAACGTCTCGTAAGAAATTCTTATTAAGGTGGTAAAATGATTATTATTCGCGCGTGTTCCTTCTATCACCATCGTTTAACAATGTTTTTAGCGCACTTTTCATATACACACTTATGCGGCACATCGTTACCTCGAACGTACGTCGCTTTGTATTTATGACTGCAACGGACGCAGAAGAATGAATTTCGCATGATATGAGATCACAAACGTGATATGTTTGTGTTTCACCAACATACGTAAGATTCCATTTCAACTTTTTGTTTTGTTCTTTTCTTTGTTTTACATAAAAACGAGATAGATAAACTTTTGCATTATTATGTCGCAATTCAGCGAATATGATTTCATTTTATTCGATTGATTTTTTGTTTTCAAATTTCCATCCTTCGTCATAAAAGTGGCACTGGTACAGAGAATAGGTTAGTATATGGCTAGATCTCATTGAATTCGAGTATACATGGGTGGTTCGTTTCGCTTGATTGTCGAACAAATGCACGGCATAAATTATTCGAAATTGTACCAATTTCATGTGTTTGCATAATAGCAAGACCGATGCCTGTATCTTTGTCCTCGCATGTATGTGAACATTCAACATTTTTTTTTTCGTTTTTGCTATCGCATCAGTATTAATGGCACAAGCATCAATAAATCGCGTGACGCCGGTGTCAAGCTGACAGACCGAAAGAAAGAATGCGATAGTGAACGAGCACAGCACAAATGATGCGATCGCATACAAAATCTTCCTCACACCATACACCATTCGACTGTCGATGATGTCCCAACTAACATTGCCAACACCAATAATAACATCTATAATAATATAAGTCATAATCATGGCACTCACACGATTTATATGAATGAAATACATATATTCTTCTTCGACGATGCGAAACGATTCTTTCTGTTATGTCTTTTCTTTTGTGCTTATTAATGTGCATAATGCCACATTGAGAGGTCGCACCGACAGATGCAGACCAAACGAAATTGTGTGTTCAAAAGAAAAAGAGATGCCAACACCCACCCGCTCTCTGTATGTTCAACGGTGTTCAAGTGTTGGTAGCGATATAGAAATTTATGTACAGTAGATTTTAACAATGGTTACTACGATAGATGTTCTCTTTTGCATTTCGTACAACAAAAAAAAACGAAAACATTTTCTTGTTGGTTATTGTTGTTGTCGCAGAAAGGCAAGGATGGTTGTTTGATATCTATTTTCTCTGTTATGTACCAATATTCCGGAAGCAAAATGTGAAATATGCGGAATTCATGATGACAGCAATAATAATACATAAAAAAACAATAATCATCGTTCGATTTTATATTACGTAGGACGATCGAAGTTGCGTAAAAAAATTGTATTTTTTTGTTTTTCTCTCTTCGCCTTTTTTTATTCTTTTTCATTCTTTTGTTTTGAACGATGAAGATCACATAGATGGAATAGGGTTGAACTGCTCTATATTGTTCACTTGAAGCGCTCAATAAGTGGAAAACCAAAAAAATGTTCATTTTTCCACATTTCCATAGCAAAAAAGATAATGTGATGAGTTGAGCGGAATAGAAAATCAACGAGAGAAAAAAACAACACAAACCTTTTTTTAAACGGTCTGTATTTATGCATACTCATGGTACAATTTTCCAACAACAAAAATTTTCCGCTTGAATTCACTTTATCATACAATAATAAGTGAACAAATGGAGACACAGAGAGAGAAATGGCATCGTCAACAACGAGGAAATCACAAGCATGAAGCACATGTTTGGAATAATTTTTCCACTTCAATGATACCGAGAACTGATGGCTTATAAAGTGACAAATACTCACGGTTTCACGCGTTCAGTTGAATTCAAACACTATTTATAAATGACATATACACACGCACACTTACTGTTCGGACATTTGCTTGGGTACAATTTTATACTTTGTGAACATTGTGAATTCTTCGAATCAAAACGGACAACCGATTCATTTTTTTCGTTCCTCAAATTAATCTTACTCAAATTACAAGAAGTTTTGATAAATGTTTTTTTTTTTGTTTTCAATTTTTAATAAAAAAAAATAGTAAGGTTCACAATTGTTGATGAGCTGATTTTAAACCAAATAATAGTTGTGTCATTGTGAACATTTTGTGATTCGGTCAAGTGCTTGAAATCAAACAAGAAAGTTTTCGAGTGATTTTGAAATGACTAAAAATGATATTGATTGTATTGAAGTTTATTCAATATCATCGAAATAAAATGAGATAAAAAAAGGAGAGAAAAAAATGCACGAATTTCAGTTTTGAATTCAATTACGGTGTGGCTCGATGACATGTATTCGGTCGTATACACAATTTCGATAACATTTCACGGCTTGAATACATAACTATGTTTATAACGGATTTTCCAAGTCAAGTGGCAATCAAGCACACTTCTCTAATGTTTATGTCTGAGGTACTGCCAACCCTTTAAAAAAGTTTTCGTATTCAATCGAGAAACGAGTAAAAGTAAATGTGCGACACATACAGAAGGAGAGAGTGGGAATGAGCGCGTAAATTAGATATGTGGAGATTGAACCATGTCACAACCAACAACATATTGATTTATTTAAAACACAAACGTATTAATCAAACTTTCTTCTGCTCTTGGATTTTTCGACGGATTCCCAGGCTTTAGAAATACATTTTATAATAGAGGACAACATCCGTCGAATTGAAGTGGCAACTAAAAACGACATCGTACTGAATAAAAAAAAAACAACAAAGATAAAGAAAACAGAAGAAAAACACAACCGAAAAAGTCACAACATATGGAAATAAACATTTAAAGGATGTTTCGAATTTTATGTTAATAGCAAAATCAATCAGTTCAAAAAGAAATGTATAGACAGTTTTCCATGTTGAGTTGTTTTACAATTTTTGTTTGTGAATATCTTTTGACCCAAAATATTTACATAATGTCATACAATCTGAAAACTCGTAGTTACAATAGTTTCAACAAATTTATCATTTTTGCAGTGCTTAATCTATGGCTTA